GTGGAGCTCCTCTGCTGGGGGCTGTGACACCAAGCGGGTGAGGGACACTGGTGTTCTGGGTGCCATGTGCTCGTGGATGGTGTTGAGCACCCCGGATGCTGCTGTAAGCCCGTGGATGGGTGCTGAGCACCCTGGGGGCTGCTGTACTCCTGGATGGGTGCTGCTGTGTGCTCACAGCCAGGCTCAGGAATCAGCTCCCTGTGCAGACCCCGCACCCAGTGGGACAGGGGGGACACAAGGGGTGATGAAGGAACGACGGCACAGGGTTGGGTATTTAGGGGCTTATCCTGGACAGGCAGAGGAGAGGGACTCAGGGGGACAGGGTGCCCGAGGTGCCACTGCTGCCATGCGTTCCCCTCTATCCACAGCCACGTTGGAGGGGAAGGATGCAGGGAGTGCCCAAAACAGGAGAGGAGGGAAAGGGGATGGGAAAGGGAAGAGCTGGAGCACGTAGGAGCGCTGGAAGATGGAAAGTCCAAGGCTGGTAGAGAGGAGAGAGATGGCAAGAGATTTGGCAGAAGAGGAGAGTAGCTCCAAATCCAAGGCCAAAACTGCAGGGCAACAGGCTCCTACCAACACGGGAAAGCTGCTGGGCAAGAGGCTGGGGGTCGAGCCAGGAGCCGGGGCAGCACTGCCACCCGCTGGGGACCAGCTCCTCTGGGCTGGAGAAGCGCTCGCAGCCCCAGGCAGCACATGGTGCTTGGACGTAGCAGGGCACGACGACAGAAACACGGCAGCAGAGCACAGCCAGGGCAGGGGGAGGTGGCGATGGGATGGCACCGTGGGGGGAGGCGACGGGTGCTGCCAGCGTGGAGCGGTGACACCCCCTGGGGACACAGGACGCAATGCGAGCCTGCGGCTCCAGCGACTCGGGGCAAGCCACGGGGCCCGTCTCCAGAAGCTGGGGACAGGGCTGCCAGGGCACCTTGTGGTTTGGAGGGGTCGGCGCCATCTGGAAATCCTCTTTGGCTCGTGGTGGCGACACGCAGAGGCTTCCTGAAAAAAACCCCGGCCTTTCCTCCTGTCCCAGAGGCTCCAGCAGAATCCTGCCTGCAGCCCCTGCAGTTCCCCCATCGCACCCTCTCCCGCTCCCCATTGGGGGCAACAGGGACTGAGCTCAGCCTGGGCCGTGCCATGTCCCTGCCCCGACCCCACCAAACTGCTCTCTGCCTTTCTCAGCCCCAGGCAGCAGCCCTGCATAGTGCTGGGAAGGACGGGGGGCTGGATATGGCCAGAGGAGCTGGGGATGCAGCACTCTGCCAGCGAGCACACCAGGACCCAGCTGCATGCACGCACCCGCCCTGTGCTGCAGAGCCCCCTCCCACCACAGCCCTCCCTGGATCCGTGCACCCCTTCCCGGGGAGACGCAGCCAGGACAGAGGAGGCTGTGCCCGCCAGCGGCTGCCCGGAGAAGCCGGGTGATGCCGGGCGCCCTGCAGCCCCGCTTACCGCTGACGTCAAGGTTGTACTTGGCCACGACGCTGCCCATAGAGCTGGTGGCCGTGCAGACGTAGGTGCCGCTGTCACTCTTGTTGAGGAAGGGGAAGATGAGGACGCTGTCGGAGCTCAGCTGCAGGGGCGCGTCACTGCCCTCCTTCTCCCATAGGAACTCCTGGGGGCTGCGGAGCGGGATGACAGTGAGGCACCGACGCTCTCCCCAGCGCCCTGGGTGGGCTGGGGCAGAGCAGGGTCCTTGGCCGGGCAGTGGAAGGGACAACGAAGGCGTGGGAGTATTTAAGCAGGAGGGAAACACCCCATTTAGAGATGAGCCAGGATGGATCTGCTGCTCCAGGGAGAGGACAGGGGCTTTGCCTGTTCCCTGTGGGGTGCCCACCCCTACCTGGCATCGATGCAAGGCCAGTGCCCGGCCCTGAGCCCACAGCGCTACCTGCGACGCCCTGCCTGAGCTCTGGGGAGGGCTAAGTGCTGGTTTTGGGAGCCTGGCAGCGGGAGGACGAGTTGGCCAGAGCAGGAGGAAAGCGAAAGGGGGCCTTACATGGGGTTGCCCTGCCCGTCACACTGCAGCTGGAGCTTCTCGCCTTCCCGCGGGTACAGGGGATGCGGCTCGATCTTTGCTGTCGGCTTGTCTGAAAAAGGAGGAGAGGCACAGTTGTGGTCACCGCCTGTCCCTGCCCCACACTGTGTAGGGGCCTGCCGGCACCCCAAAACCCTGCCCCTGCCCCAGATCTGCGTGTGCAGCCTGAGTGCACCTGTGGGTGGGGGTCAGCACTCTGGGGGTGCACAGTGCAGCTCCCAGGTCCCTCACCCTTTCATCAAAGGGGACGCGCAAGGCAAGGGGAATGGGGACAGGCAGGTAGCAGGGGATGGCACAGACAAGTCTCAGTGAGATGAGTGCTCAGGCAGGACACAGGGGACAGGGACAGGCAGGGGAAACCAAGGGTGTGCACGCACAAGGGAAGTGTCACTGTGCCCCTACGTGTGACAGGACTGCTGTGCATGCACGCTGATGAGCCTGTATGCATGATGGCTGTATGTATGTGTAAATGCAGGGCCGTGTGCCTGATGTCTGCTGAACTGTGGTGATGCTGAGGCCTCCTCCATCTCTCCCACCCCTCCACAGCCCTGTCCCCTTTCCCATGTGGCCCAGTCCCATCATCCCCATGCGTCACGTACAGTGGACCTGCAGCTTCTGTGTGGTTGACCTCTCGGAGTTCTGCAGGGACTCGTGATCCACGGTGCAGGTCACCTCGGCTTCGTTGTCCTCCTTGGTGACGCGGAACTCCACCCGACTGCTCACGGTGAAGGTCTTTCCGTTGGGGTCCTCCACCACCTCGGTGCCCTCGTCTGTGGGGACAGAGGACCGTTAGAGCTGATGGACACAGTACCCCAGCAGAGGCATGAGGCTGACATGCGTGTTGAGCAGGGAACACCCTGTCCCTGTCCCTTTGTTGGCAGTAGCACAGGATGCCAGTGTGGTCCAGCACCGGGCACATCTGCAACCCCTGGTGCCCCACCTGCCTCATGGTGTTCCCCAGCCTGTCCAGTCCCTCGGGGCAGAGCCCCACTGCTTGGGCACCCACCCTTCAGCTCCTTGTTGCCCTTCTTCCACCGGAGCTGGGCCGCGGGCTTGCTGCCAGAGGACCGGCAGGTCAGCCGGGCTATCTTCTCCTCATCAATGGGCTGCTCATGGCCGGAGATTTGGGGTTTCTGGGGGATTCCTGGTAGAGGAGGAGGCAAGAAATACAACAGCCCATTAGCTGTGCCTGTGCTGCCACCCAGAGATGGATGCACATGCAGAGTCATGTCAATAAACCTGGCAAGAATAAGTTAACGGGTAGGGATATGGGAGCAGCAGAGATGAACGGCTGTATGGACAGCATCTTGCAGGCAGGGCAGTAGCAGGCAGGAGATGGGGAGCAGGTAGGGGGACTGCCACTGGTGCCTTACCCAGCACGGTGACCAGGGCCTTCGCAGTCCGCACGGGCATGGTGAAGATGGAGCAGGTGTATTCCCCCTCATCCGACAGCACCACATCACTGATGCTGATGGTCAGCTCGTTGGGCGTGGACCTCTCTAACTGGATCCTGTTATCTCGCAGGGCTGGGGGAAAAGGGACAACAGGGTGAGTGACAGGCTCAGTACCTCACGCCCCTCCGCTAGCTCACACTTTGCCTGGTGGCATCGCTGTAGGTGGGGAGCAGGAGGGAACATCACCCCCTGGGCCACCACCGGCCCTGGTCCACTTTCCCTCTGCCCCACCATCACTCTGGTCCTGGAGCTGGCTCCTCTCCCATCCCCAGTTCCTGTGCATGCACCTCGTTTCTCCCCGAAGTAGAGGGTCTGCTGGGCTGGGTTGGACCACTGCAGCGAGGAGTCATCAGGATCCTCCACCTGGCACTTGAGCACCACTGTACCACCGGCCACCACAGTCTCATCCGACGTCGTGGGCTGGCTCTCTGGACACAGACAGGAGAGGTTAGCAGTGGCCCTGAGTGTCATCTCTCCCCAGGCGTGCACAAGCATCACTGAGCAACCAAGGGAAGGGAGGGAGGAACACAGTGGTGTCCCCAAAACCCCTGGGACAAGCAAGGCTTCAGTGCTGGGCTGAATACAGCTTGCTTGGGACAAACATTTTTTTCCAGCTGACGCCAAGCCCTGGATGGCCGGGCTACACGGCCTGGGGTAGGGGGACTGGGTCACCCTGGCTCAGCCACTCCGGGGGGCAGCACGGAGGGGCACGGGGAAGAGGAGCAGGTGTGGCCAGAGGTCTGGCTGGATCCAGGGAGACTGTCAGCGTGAGTGTGTACCAGTGTGCACGTGTGTACCTGGGAGCATCTGTACAGCCCCTCGAGCATGGATATGTCTGCACTATTCCTCTCCAGGGACAAGGGGTTTCTATCGCACAGCAGCGTGCTTGGAGCGGAGCTGTTCTGAGCACCCTGGGGACAACAGGGACCTGCTCATGGGCACTGCCAACCCGGGTCTCCCACTGCGATCCCATTCCCCAGCAGGGAACAGCCCCACTACAGCTGCAGAAGCAAGCACCAGCAGGCGGGATCCGTCCTGCCGCCCGACCTGCAGCACCCGTTGGAACGGCAGCTCCCGGGACGCTGCTGTCCCCAGGAGGTAGCTCCATGCCAACCTGCAGAGAGACATCGTGTCAGGCCTGGCTCTGAGCATGGCCCCTGGGGCTGATGGAAGATACAGGCAGCTGGTGCCCGGATCCAGGCAGGAGCAGGGGGACGCCAGGAGGCAGCAGGAGAGCCTGGCACTGGCACAGGCGCCAGCTGAAGGCAGCAAGCTCTGCTCCACTGCCCTGGCAGGGCCAGCCAGCCACGG